TGCTGGGTGGGGCTGCAGGCTTGGGGGAGGGGGCTAGAGAAGCCTCCCTCCCTGACACTGTGGGCTCAGTCAATAGAAACTGAGGGCGCAGGAAATGAAAGGGGGGGCATCCCATCAGCTGAAGGGAAGGGGCGGAGGCTGCCTCCTGCAGGCCCAGAACCAGCACCCCCGGCCCTGGGACTCTTACCCCCCCCCCCCTCGGCCCGGGTCAGGGCCCTCCCCACACGCTGGAACCAGCAGCAAGAGGCACAAACAGACACAAGGCGGGAGGTGCAAACAGGCCTTTTCTTGCCTAAAAGCTCACGACAAACTCAGGGAAATTCAGTCTCCAGTTCCACAGAGCGTCCATTAGAGCTGCAGCCCCCCCACCCCCGGCCAGTAGCTTCAGCCTCCCCAGCCCGGACCCCCTCCCCCACCCCGCGGCAGGTTTCCAGTCAGTCAGACCCCTGCAGTCCAGCAGGCTCCGGCACCTGCCCGGTTACCCCCCAACATGGGGCGGGGGGACGGGGAGAGATGGGACATAGTCTGGGGGATCCGAGAAGCTGCAACCTGCCTCCTGGCCGAGCCAGCAGCATCGCCACCGAGAACGCAGCGTCGGCAGTGCCAAGCTGAGCACTGGGAGCGGCCGGGGATCCGCCGCGTAGTCGGGGCCGTGCCCCAGCCCCCACGCTTGGCCATTTGCAATATTATTTAAAACGCAGATTAATAAATAATGGAGGCAGCTGCTCCTGCGAGTCCGTCTGCATCCTGTGCAGTGTCCGCCCCCAAGCCACAGCCCGGGGGAGCTCCCTGCCCCACCCCACCCAGGCAGGGGCCGTCTCCCAGCAGGACGCGGCACGGCTGGTCTGCTCCTCTCCTGGCCGCCGGGGGGCTACCCAAAGTGGATGCGGAAGGTGGCGATCTCCATGGGGTCCATGTGAATCACAGTGCTGTTGGGGGAGGCCGCGCCCAGCGGGTACATCAGTGTCAGCGAGGTGGGCTGCAGGGACCCCAGCTCCAAGCCGTGGAACAGGCTCCCAAGGGAGAACTGCAGAGAGGAGGGGGCGTAGGGTGAGGGGCTGGCACCTCAGGCTGTGCCCAAGCAGCGGGCATGGAGCCAGCACCGAAAGGCAGCCTCCCCTTGCGGGGGGTGCGAGACAGGGGCCAGGATGTGACGGAGAGCCGGTGCCCCAGGAACGCAGCCTAGCTTAGCCTCAAAGCACGCTGCTCCCTCTGGCAAGCGCCCCCTCGCCACCACAACCTTCCCCCCTGGCCTGCCCAGGCCTGATCCGCAGCACCAGCGTGAGGGTGGGTCAGCTGCAGGGCTGCAGCGAGGGCTGGGCGGGGGTGTCACTGGCCGTGTCCCAGACCCACCTTGCCCCGGCGGGGGGGGGGGAGGGGTGTCACTGGCCGTGTCCCAGACCCACCTTGCCCCGGCGGGGGAGGGGGGTGTCACTGGCCGTGTCCCAGACCCACCTTGCCCCGGCGGGGGAGGGGGGTGTTACTGGCCGTGTCCCAGACCCACCTTTCCCTGGCTGGTGGTGCAGTTGAAGCCCAGGTGTTTGGCCTCCAGGCCACAGTCGAAGCCCTTGCGGTGCAAGATCAGTGCCATCTCCGCCGAGGGCAGCGAGTCGTCCTGGGACGGGGAAGCAGAGACGCGTGTGGCAGCCGCAGGAAGGTACATGGATCATGGGGCTGAAACCAGGATGTTTGTGCTGCGATCTAACCCGCAGCTCAGTGTCCTGGAGACCCATTCGGATCTGCACCCTTCCGCCATTGCTGAGCTGCTGGGCCCAGCTACGCGGCTGAGCAACGAGACAGGACCCACTCCCGACACCCGGATTCAGGTCACAGCACCGCTAACACTGGGATTCCCTCCGAGACCTCTCCCCTCGGCCCCCAAGAACTCCCTCGGCTCCAGCCTGCGTCACTCGGAGCCTTTATCTGGCACCCGGCAGAACTCGGCTGAGATGATGAGACTCAAACGTGGGGGATGGATGCCGGGTACGAGAGCTCAAAGTGCCCCAGCACCTGTCCCTTTGCGTCCCACTGCAATGGCTTGGCCTGAGTACGCCACAGGAACCAAGCCCGGTGCAGCAGGCTCGCCCACGGACTCTTTACCTCACCCCTACTTCCCTCGCTTAGCGTCCATTGTTACTTGTTTGCAACTGGTCCCCTGGGTGTTCTCCCTCTTACCTCAGCTGGCTCAGACATTCTGTCTTTTTAGCCTTCCCTTCTTTAGCACAAACATCCGGTTTTCAGCCTCATGATTCATTTACATCCCTAATTCCACCTTCCATGAAATGAGGTGTTAATTACTCGTCAGCCAAAGGGATGGGTGTGACGAAGTGGGACTGTTCTTAATGTTTCCTCTGAATACTGTGTGGGTGCCTCAGTTTCCCCTATGCACTTCTTAAGTCTCTAGGAGAGGGTGGGATAAAGGCCAGTGTGCATAAATCACTGACACTCTGTCTCCCTGGCAACAAATGGCCAGGGCCCTTCCCCCATGCAAGGAAATAGCTAAAGGTGAACAAAGAGATCAGGTGACCTCCTGGCCCAGGAAAGAGACAAAGCCCAGAGAAGGAGGGGCTGGAGGGGGTTTCACTTTGGAGCTGGCTGGGTACTTGGAGTGAGGGCAGACGGGGATGTCTAGTTCACTAGGTCAGAATGGACCCGGCCGAGGGGTCCCGTTCGCTGGACCTACAAGCTCTGTTTTAGACCATGTTCCTGTCATCTAATAAACCTCTGTGTTACTGGCTGGCTGAGAGTCACGTCTGACTGTGAAGTGGGGGTGCAGGACCCTCTGGCTCCCCCAGGACCCCGCCGGGGCGGACTCGCTGTGGGAAGTGCACGGAGGGGCATATGCTGAATGCTCCCTGGAGAGACCCAGGAGGTGAAGCCGTATGAGCTTCTTGCCCTGAAAACAGTCTGCTCCGAGGGAGAGGAGGCTCCCCAAAGTCCTGACTGGCTTTGTGGGGAGCAGTTCCAGAGCATCGCCTGGGGACTCCATGACAACGAGTACAGCTGGGTAGAGAGCCTGATCCCAGGCCTGCGCCTGCCGGGATGATGGGAACGGACAGTCTGACCTGCCC